AAAAGGACACAAACTGGTGCTCTCTCTGAGAAGCCCATTACGACGAGAACTTGTACATGTCGTTGTAACTTCTTGTACTCAGCATGTCTCAATCTCTAGGCGAGTTGATTCGGCAGCAATGATCCTGGTATAAGATTTATGATGTGTTGAATGTCACTCAGTGGTGGTAATCCCTCCGGAAGGCTGTCGGTCATCATATCCAGGAAGTCCTATAGTAGTATTGTTATCTCACTCTCCTCCTCAACTCCCTTTAGGACTAATGTCAGCGCCACTAGAGCCATCTCGAATTGACTGCATAAGGTAGCCCATGAGACTAATGCTTCCTCTATATCGCCACCCGCCAATTGCATCCTTAACAAGTAACAACATAATGATTTTTTCATCCTTCTTAAAAGAGTAAGTATTCTTAAAACCGTCGTGTCAAGTCTTGTGGTCGAACTGCTAAAATCTACCCAACATAATGTGGCAAGCGTCAATCGGAGCCACATCACACCATCTAGTTGGATGTTCCATGAGCCGAGTGGTCATCCCGGATCAGGGCACCATCAAGGAGGTGGATGAGGAGTCAGAAGATAGCGCACGAGCTAGCATATATCTCCATGATGGCAAGATTAGGCTTTGGATTCGGAAGGGCTGGTTTTTGGTGGGAGTAAGGCGGATGCTAGGAAACACTAGGATTAGGCTACCTCTGATACTAAATGATACCAAAGTTAACTAAACCTGACATAGCGAAAGCTGATTTTATTAAGCAAATGAGCAAGGTTATAATCATGACTCCAAAATAGAACAAGGACACGACAAACAACAATATCCAACTAGATTTGGATAGGAAAAAATAGAGACATTGGTGTGCGTGCAGCAGTTGAGGGCTAAAAGGGGTGGAGAGATTGAGGTTGTTATGGGGCTGCAGGTTGAACCGAGGGCAAGAATAGAGAGACGGTGGGAACAAGGGTTGCAACTGGAATTGGGAGTGCAAAAGGGTTGTTTGGCGATTGGGAGCAAGTCGGTGAGGTAGTAGGAGGTGGTTGGGCTACCGTAGAAGGTAGGGATGCTGGCGACCTGGAACTACAGGTTGGGGTTCAAGCGGGCAGTTGGAGCGCTTGGTTGGGAGATGCAAGGAAGGGAAAAACTGGGGTCAGCGACAACATAGAGAGAAGGGAAACAGGGAAGGGAATCGGAGAGGATAAACACTACCTCGGAACAGGGTATAGCCAGAGCACCATCCGTCCTCTAATAAAGCCCTGGCAAGGGAAAAAGAGTCCTGGCAGAAATCTGAAATAAAACAGCACATAACATGACCCTGATCTCAACAAACACACAAAAATGTAGTTAGTTAGACAGGAAACGAGAAAGGAAAGGGAAGATTCAGGGCGGCCGGGGGCGGAGTAATTCCCTCCCCAAACAGCATCGATCCAGCCTCCCGCTGGACCAAATTCCTGCCCTGGTAGATTCAACCGGCCAACCAGAGGCCCGCGTCAACAAATATAGTAATTTAAGTAAGAACAATAAATATAAAAATGCTATACAAATTATATCCATAATTTTTGTTCCATAGAGAAAATGTAAAAAAAAATAATTATCACTTGTCAATATTTTTCACATAAACATTTGTTGAAATTATTGTGTGGAATATTAAGGGCAACGGCTTTAAGCCATAATTTAAGTGAAATCTTGCAAGACGGTTGTTTTGAACAAAATAAATCATGGATGCAGTAAATCTAAATTTCAGGGATTTCGACCACAAATCCCATATTTAGTAAATCCAACGAACCGATGAATTTAACTTCGCACGTTGCGGCTTTAAGGCAAGATAAACAACAATTGTTCCGAAAACGCTATCTCCTCTTCCCCAACTACTTTGTTGTTGGTAGTGTTGTCTACCATATGGTTCGCCTTTATAACCCCACCAAAGATCTCACTTCTCTGCCATTGTTCTCACTGAAAAGTTTCACAAAAGGCGTTTTCCATCCCTGAATCAGGTACTTCAAGTTTTTAATTTTGGTTTCTGCCAAAAGCTCTTCTACCTCATTCGATTATTTCTCCAACCCCAAGCTATTCTCTCGTGCAAATATTCCCATTCTGATCTATCCGCTCCGCTATTGTTCAAACTCTGTGATGCAGGAGACCGAACAATCAGACCTAAAATTTCAAAGATAATAAAAAATCATTGACATAATGTTGACTTTCAAAGCCAAACAAAATATGAATAATAAATATGGTGTTTTGCAAGAATATGTTCAATCCAACAACAAAGTTTAAGACCTTGTTTTCGTGTTTGTTGAGTGCATCAATAACAGTGAGTGTAACTTCATTTTAAATGTGATCGATACTTCCTAAACTTACTAAACAATCGTTCATTGTGATAAGGGTGTTTTTGTCAAGTGATTCTTTCAATTTTGCAATGTTCTCCATCTGCGCTGAAAATAGTTTATTGAATGTCTCCTTGTTAGCATAATTTTTGTTGCACCGTGAAACCAGAATCTTCTCTTCGCTACGTCATTTGGCTCAAACAATATGTCTCAATGTCTCCTAATTCGTCATGGACTCATCGTTGATAATGTACATTGGGGTTTGCGACACTAATATCCTCAATAAAGTTAACTCCATTTGACGTCATGAATTTGTCTTCATAGATGTATTTTTCTAGAGCACTAACAGTCTCAACACTATTATTCCTCCTGACTTGTCAATCAAAGAGTTGATTATGCTCATATAATAACAGCAATATTCTCAGCATATATCTTCTCGAATATATCATCTTTGAAGTTGTTGTTTCTGCAGCTCCGACGAATCAATAACAATAAAGTAAGATAGATATATTCTTGACTATCTCTCAGTATTAAAGGCAACTTATGCAACTTAATTAGCTTACAGCTGCATATTTTGGCATCTTTTTTAATTTTATAGGTGTGAGGCAAAGCTTTGAATTTCAACTCATTGGTAACGAGGATCTGCAAATACATTAAGAATATATAGCTAATATTAGCTAAGAATGAATCTAGTGAATTAAAAGACAATGTAAATTTCCGGATTTATAGTTCCTTCTTTATAGAATGAACTAAAGGAAAACATATGGTGTAAATATGCTTAAATCATTTAAAGTGTCATTCATAATAAAAAACAGAATTTTGTGTACGTTACTCATTTTTTCTGAAAACCAGGAGAAACTGGAGAAAATACGGTGCTTGAGGTAGTATAGTGCAAACTGGCCCTAACTCAATTCAAGATCTCCCTTAATAGAAACATGTTTTGCTAGATTATTAGATATTACGACTTCCTCACTTCACCATCGACAATAGAGGTATATAAAATCTTGCACAGTTGAGTTTTAAATAACACGGTTTATTACTATTTCTAGATAATTAAAATTATTTTTTATTAGAAATGCTCTGCTCTGTAGAATGAAGCATTTGGCAATAAAGCATCACTAATAGACATGTTTAATGTGGCAAAAAAGAGAATAACACTATATAGGTTTTAAAAAAATTGGAAAAATTATATGTATAAATGATTATGTAAGAGGAACTATGGGAGTATCATCCATTGAAAACAATGTGACGAAAATATAGTTAGGTTGTTTGGACATGTACCATGGAGGGTAAAAGATATGATTTATTATAAGTAGATATACCTAATGTTAAACTATTCAAGTAAATAAAAGTGATATGGACGGCTGTGATACAAAAGAATTATGGTAAAAACAGATTCAATAATTAAAATGACAATGAGATTTCATAGTACCAACACTTCATAGGAATTCTGCACTACACTTTATCTAATTATAGTGTATAATGGATAAATTTGTTCCACGACTACGAAATCAGCAACAAATATCTTTAACAAACTCCCGATTAACCTTAGCAAATATATATGATGGAAAAACTTGCACAACTAAGGTTTGCTTACATTCTCTCTCAAAAAATAAAAAAAATAAAAAATAAATAAAAATCCATTACACAAACAAATTATAAAATTATGATATCACAAAACTGATGCTACCAGAACATATAACTTATTCAAATTGTTGAAAATCCATCCCCATACTAAGAGTTCCTTTAATTTCCTTACATTAACAAATCCTCAACGAAGATGCATGCATGTCTTAAATAATTTGAATTGTATGATATATTGAGTATTTACAATGTGGATTTGCTGTAATATTTTTCATTTCTAAAGGCAGAGAATTCTTTTTCAAAGCTAGGATATTTAACATGTAAATCAATACTCTTAAAAAGAAAGATATAATTTAAAGAAAAATATTCTTGGAATAATTGCATTCAGTTGCAGAAAAAAATGTAATTGTTATATGGAAGAATCAAGAATCATGAAAAGGTAAAATAGCAAATATATTGCTTGAAATCAACACAAAGGAAGACGAAAACCCTAAATTTATCGGATGCAATGACAAAGGATGTTGTTTACAGGATAAATATCGATAGGCAAAGCTTCCCAAGCAGAATCTTTGAGCAACTTGATCGACAAGCAGCTCGCAGCTTTATCTTTCTCCGCACTCGAGAGAGAAGATTTGAGGCTTTGCGTGCAATAGAAACCTTTGGTAAACTTTTCAGTTGGTTGAAGGACCCAGCTAGGAATGAAAAAAGTTATTAAATTGAGATAACTGAGGCTGCAAGCTAGAATTTGAGCATAATTCACAGCCACTGTAGTATATAAATCCAAGAATTGAGCAGCTTAGAAAAAAAATGTTCAGGGTAGGAGAAGTCAGGAATGATCCCTTCTCATTAGGGGCAAATATGCTCTGCACAGCTACTCGATCATTAGGTGAAAGACTTGAGAGAGCTCCGATCGTTCGGCCTAAACGATTTACGGACGGAGCAATCGACAACGAAGCAGTTGGGGAAGAAGAGATAGCATTTACGGACGAAATCCATGAAATCAGGATTTACCGCATCCCAGACCCCTTATGTCTGATATTTACAAATTCAAAAGGGAAAAGATGGATGAAAAGAGGCTGAGCAAATAGAGAAGAAGAACAGACGAACCCGAATAACATCAAGAAGCCTGATAATATTCGGGTGGCGGACATTGGCGAGGAAGCTGAGCTCGCATTCCAAGCATTCCCTGAGGGTTCTAGTGATCCCCGATATTTGAACCCGCTTAATCGCAACGTCCTGACCACTGGGCCGGTGCAACGCCCTCCGCACCGCCGTCAATGGCGGCTCCCCTCCCAAACTCTCCTTCAACTCGTACTCATCCAAATCGACGACAGAAGCCTCGATCTCTTCAGAACCAGCCGCTGCGGCCTTCATGGCTCCCCCTCCCTCCTCCGTCTCCATGGCTCCATTAATCCAAAATGGGAGAAAACAAAAAAGGAGAAGATTTTATCATTGGCATCATAAAGGTTTGTTTGGTTGAGCTTATGATTTAAATTAAATAAGATTTACTAAATTTCATAAATTCAGATTTATTAAATCCAGTAACATTATATTTATAATTATAGTTCGTATTATTTAAGTTAAATTTAATTCACATGTTTCATCATAATTTAACAAAAAAAGAGAAGTGTGACTTCTTCCGGTAGGCAGACAGTCCGACAAATTCTATTGTCGATTGTGATTGAAGTTGGATACTATCCCTACAGAACGACGTAACTAGTGATATGCGCCGTTTGGATTTTAAAATTAATATTATCATATTTTTAATTATAAATTTATTTTTTTTTTCTTTTCTTAATCAATCTTGATGTTCACTATTAAGTGAGGTTTGTATTTTTTTTTTTTTGTTCTTAACTCATTTTTAGCTTACTAGGGCTTAAGTATCAAATATATTGATATTAAGGTTCTGTTTCAAATAGCATTACTATATAGAGGCGGAATTGTCATTTATCTATAAGCAACTCCAAAACAACTCTGTTCCAACAGCACAAACCAAACCAACCAACTTATCTGAATCAACTGTTGATCATAAACTTATTTGGATCAGTTGTTTATCAGCAGCTTATTAAATAGCTATAGCTACCCCAAAATAGACCCTTAAATTCACCTCAGTAAATTTAGAAATTATGTTATGTTGTGGTAAATTTTGGATTTAGTAAACATAATGATTAAGTGACATTGAAATTATTTTTTGTTGATTTGCGTGAAATTTACATGGCAACTCATCTAAAAATAGGCTACTAAACATGACTGCCAAACCCGAAACATATTTATCAGTTCACTTATGTGTTATGGATGGCCTTTAATTGTTCTCATCAATATAAGCATTTTATATGTTTAATTTGTAGGCCATATATAATGTGAATAATAATTCTTTTTATGGTTTCACAAGAGATTATTAATTTTTCATAATTATTCTAATTAATAATTTAAATATTTTTTTATAAAGAGGATTATATGGATCCCATTTTATTGCAATAAAAGAAAATTACCAAAGTAAGAAGAAACCAAGAAACTTAAATCCCTATACAACTCACACAAGAAATAAAATAGGTTCTATTCCAAAAGAAAAGAAAAACACAACTCACACCCCAACACAAGAAGAACAGAACGGAGAAACACCAAAACAATCAACAATTAAGGTTATTCAAAGCCAAAATCAAAAGCTTCGTCGGAACCATCTTACTGATAAAAGCATGATTAGATCTCAAACAAGCTTTAGCAACCGAGGGAGCAACCTTATTACCATTCTGCTAAATATGTGTCCAAAAAACATTCAAATCCTTAAAATGGTCTCTTATTCTCCTGGTTTGAAGAAGAATGCTCCAATGAGCATCCAATTTAAACCCATAGCATCTCCAAAGAATAAGGGAATCAAATTCAAAAACAAGATTAATCCAACCCATATTTCTAGCAACCAAAAGACCAAGTACAACAGCATTCGCTTCTGCCGTTAAAGTAGACACAGAAACAGCCTTAGCAGCAAACCAACAAATAATAGAACCCATAACACCAAACACCTCCAACACTAGCAGAAGCATTCTTCTAACATCCATAAGTATTAAACTTAAAAAAATGCACAGCAGGCTTACGCCAAATAACCTGAGAGAATGTCAGATCAGAACAAACAAAAGATAAATTCAAATTCTGAAAAAGAGTAGTAATACGTGTATTGTTGCCTATAAGTCCTATAAATTTCAAACTATTGCTCAAGTAATTAATAATCATACTCACAGTACCCAAGATATTAGGCAAATCATCATTATGTTTAATATTGTTTCGGTAATCCATATAAAACATAGGACAACCACAAGCACCAAAAAAACATTACCCAATTTGCTCTAGGAATAAAAAATATCAATGATAGAAGTATAAGTATTCAAAGCTCCACTATTAAGAAGTTTAAGAGAAATTTGATTCCAGATAGCAATAGCAAACATACAGTTACCAAAAATACGAAGGATAGTCTCCTCCTCCATATGACAAAGCAAGCAACGAAAAGAAAGCCTCAAGCTTTTAAGCTTAAGTATATCATCTGTAAGAATAATGCTATGGATAACTCTGCAAATGAAGAAAGAAATAGAAGACTTTAACCAAAGATTCCAAATCCATTTACTATTCATCCCCTGAAAAATCTGAAGAGAATTAGCAAAACTGTTAGAACAAGAGCTTGCCTTTAATCGTAGGGACATTCTGCTCATCATAGGAAATAGGAATAGAATAAATGAACTTAGCATCATTAACATCAAGCATTTGAAGCAGCAATTCCTCCATCCAGCAATTATCCTGCCATAAATCCTTAACCTGTAAATTGATATCGAAAGAACCCCCATAATGATCTTCAAGAGCATCATTACCCATCCAGTCATCAAACCAAAAGGAAACATCACCTTCTCCAAGATCCCAACAAAGAAGCTTGTTAGTATGCTTAGCCACTCTTAACATTTCTCTCCAAGTAAAAGAGTCAGAATTTGAGGAAGAGATAGATTAAGGGTGCTTATTAAAGCAATATTTAGCATGCATTAAATAGTCCCAAAAAGAATTATTTGTACGGAATCTGTACCACAGTTTCATAAAATTGATTTTAATAGAATCAGTTAAGAATCTAAAACCCAGTCCACCTTTGTCCAAAGGTTTAGAAAGTTTTTTCCATTCTTTCCAATGAAAATTAGCTTTACCATTGCATTCCCAAAGAAATTTATTGAAGAGCAATTCAACATGTTTGATGAAACCAAATGGAAAATTCATAACTTGTAAGGAATAAAGAGGAAGAGAGGTAAGGATACTCTTAAGAAGAGTTACTCTCCCCCCAAAGGAGAGAAAATTATTACCGCAAGAAAGAATTCTAGTCTTGATTTTATCAAAAATGTTTAACCAGAGAGCATTCCTTTTATAGCCTTTATCAAGAGTGAAACTCAGATAAGACAAAGGCAAATTAGCTTTCTTACAATTCGTAAAATCCATGATCTGATTCTTCTTAGCAGAAGGAACAAATTTGGAACAATAAAAGTAGCATTCAAAGGAGTTAAAAATCAGTCCAGAAATGTGCTGAAAATTCTGAATAACATCCTAAACCTTCTTAATAGAATGCTTGTGAGCATTAGTGAAGATAATCAAGTCATCAGCAAAACATAAATGAGAAATGAGATATACTCAATTTACAATTTACCCTTATGAACATAATTCAGACTAGGGTAAGTATCAAACAAACCATTAAGGCTTCTCGATAAGTAATCAAAGACAAGAATAAAGAGGTGAAGAGAAAGATGATCCCATTGTTTAATACCCATAGAAGTAGTAAAGTAGCCACATTTATGTCCATTAATGAGTAAAGAATAGAAATTGTTGCTAAGAATTCTATTAATCAATTGACAGAAAGTAACACTAAAGCCAATATTAACTTTAACTGAAAATCTATCCAAATCAAATGAGTTAGTTCTTATCGCAAGGGAACTCAACATAATAAAAATAAAAAAAGATAGAAATGTGCTAGAATATGTACCACATTGATTAAAAATAAATTGAAAATCTCAAAGTTTCAGATTTAATTAAAAACTTCCCTCGTATAAGTCAATAGCTTCCTTAAATATATTAGTGATTTCCCCTCAAATCCAACAACATGGGTTTAGATGCTTGCTCATCTACATCATATATTCAACACAATTCCTGCGGAGGAACAACACAATTCCTACGAAGGAAAAATGTAGATGGATTTGGCTAATACAATCTCTGTAATTGAATAATAATAAAATATTAAAACTCAATCATTTTTAATGCTTGGATTCGATACTATTTTTAAGTTGGTAAAATCTTAGTCCAAGCTCATAGGAGCTATACAATTTGAAGACTTCTTGAATAGGATGGCACCCATTGGAGTTGGAGCTCACATTTGAGATCCATCAAAGTATTATTCCTTTCATAGGATCCACGAGCATTATATGGAGAATTGCAATACTTCTAAAACCTTACATATCTGTTCATTAAAGATAAAAACTTAAAATGAATTTATTTTGATGTATCTAAGAGAAGACTCTTAAATATCCAACATAATTGTAATAATGCTATGTATTATTGAAGGAGCCTTACAAAGGCCTTACGAAAAACACTTCTTGTATGATACAGCCAAAAGGAGTTAAGTATGATGAGCACCTCGAAGGACAATATATATACTTATGTATTCAACATTGACAGATGAATAATTTGACAAACTTATCAATTAAGCTTTTTAAAATACAATCAACTTTAGTGATTTTAATAAACAATTGCCAGTCCATTAGTAAAAAAAAATTAAGGCTTTTAAAAAAAATCAAAAGTAGAAATTCAATAGGAACTGCTAATATCTCGATAGAAGTATAAAACTATTTAGGACATCTAGAATTTCTTGGCTTACCAAACTTCTTACAATTATTCCAAAAATTAAAAATAAGTCTGAAAAAGTAGGAAGAATATTTTGGCTCCCATTTTTAAGAATTAAGGAGATGAACAAAAGTGTTCAAATTTATAGAGGAATTAAGTTAATGTGTTAAACATTAATATTATGAGAAAGTAATTAAATATAGGTTAAGATGTGATATAACGATTTCTCATAATCAAATTAGATTTATCAATACCAAAAAACAAAAAATTTCACAACATCTTTGAAGCTTTCGCAGTGCTTATAAAACCTACTGATATTCTTGTTGCAAGAGCGTTGCATCTGCTTAGCGCTGTAAAGGCTTTTTGCGGTACTTCTGGAAGCGACGATGTTTATAAATGCTACGACTTTTTATATGTTACAACGCTTATAAGTGCTGGTAGGATGAAGAAAAACTACTTAAAATTCATGAATATTACAGCACTTATAGGCGCTGGTATGTTACAAATTTTTTTAAAACAAATTTATTTTGTTTTTTTTTTTACACATCTATTGCAACAAAATAAACATTACAAGTATAAACTTTGTGCAACTTTGTGCAACATTAAACGCAAGACTTACAAAAATAAACGTATTATAACACATCAAATATGTTTTATTTCATGTAACAGATAATTAAAAGAAAAGAATAAAAATAAAAAATCAAAAGTAATCCTAAATGGCCCCTTAACTTTCGATAATTTGCATCTCTCCTGATTTTGATGAATTATGCAGCTCTCAGACTTTTTATCAATCTCATCCAAGCTTCTACCCAGAATAATAGACCTCCTAAAAAGGCTTGCTCAGGCAGGGAACCAGCAACCTCTCAGCTCACAAAGCTTTCAGAGCCCATCTCACAGGCAAGCTTCTGTGCTCAACACATCCATGGAGTCCTTCTTCATTAACTGTTTCTTAAGAGATAGAAGCTGAGTTTCTTAGCAAATCAACTGTTTCTTAAGAGATAGAAGCTGAGTTTCTTAGCAATCCTTAAATTAAACTGCATTTTGGTGAAAACTGATTCAGAATTCACCAGTTCATAAAAAAATTTTTGGAATTTTTTTCAGTTAGAAAATTGAGGTCATATAACATACTTCTTCCCGTGTGCTTGAAGCAATTGGATCAGTCAATGCCTCCATTCCGTTTTTTTTGGAAGCTGGAGCTTCTCCAAAAGCTGAATTTAGAATGCTTTCAATTCTATCCGGTTTCTCATCCAAGCGGATCACAACAAAGACAAATAGAAGTTTCAAAGCCTGCATTATGCTCAAAAAATAATCAATTAGCATGCACGCTAGTAAGATAAAGTAGATGCATATAATCTAATCATCAATGCAAAAATCACATATTAGAAAAAGGAACATTTGCATACATACCACTCAATACTTATGTATTTTCACATCTACCACCTAAGCTTTAATTTTTACTTAAATGCCACCTTCCTTATGCATAAAATGGTGTATTTCACTTTTTAAAAGTTAAAATGGTGGTATTTTTTATGTGATATGAAAGATTTGAGTGCTATAAATAGGGTTATCAAAACGGCTCGTTCGCTGAGTTGACGAGCCGAACACGAACAAAGATTTGTTCGTTCGTGTTCGGCTCGTTTTGGCTCGAAATACTACTCATCAACTTTATACATAGCTCGTTAGGACTCTTGGAATCTCTCTCTCTCAACTCTTTATTCCTAGAGTGTGATTCACAAACAAATCTATGTTCAACGCCATGAATGATACGGTGAGCATGGATCATGATGCAAACAATAACAGGAGTAACTCAAGGAGAACTTAAACAGCAAATTGCACTCGAGAGTTCATGGCTCAACAAATCAATGACCTCAACGAGTTATGTAACACCTAAAGTTTGATATTTAAATTTATAAAACTTTGATGTTATAAATATATGCATAAAAATGTGTATTTCAATTTAAAAAAGCTAATAATATTTGTATTTTTTATGAAATGGTAAGAATTTGAGTGATATGCATATAAATATGAAAGTTTATGTGTGAGATATGAAAATACACAAGAATCGTGTGCTATGTATGTAAATGCCCCTTTTTTATCTTTCCAGTAGCATTGTACTCGGGAAAAGCTTTCTTCTCATTTTGCTTCAGCCCTGGCTTGAATTGAGAAAAGCAGCTCAGTCTTGTCCCGTGTCAAGCTTTGATAAAAAATACACTTTCCTTTTGAATGCTCATCTTTCAGAGTAAGTTCAACGATCTTCTTAAAAATTTAAAGAGATTTTTCAGTGAGTTTTTAGTGTATATTCTATTTTTTGTAGTGAAATTTTTTTCTGTTAAGTTGATGATGTCATGACATTGATCGGAAACAAGCTGCTAACATTATACTTTTAAAGACAGTTTTTCAGGTGTATCATTAATTAATTAGTTATTATTCACATATTTTTTTTTTAATTTTTAATGATTTGAGAAAAATTTTATGTAGGATATGATACATTTGTTTTGCCGTAAAAAGAATTTGTTATACATGAGAAAACAAAGATTTGAATCTTTTTATCATAAATTCATCAACACCCATGAAAAACTTAACTATTTACCACTATTTCATTATATATTTATTGTTTCATTTTTTTTTTCTCTTTTTCTTCTTTAGCCCCGTCTATCATTAGAGAATATGAGATTTTTTTTTTATTATTTTTTTTATTGTGCAGATTCCATTTGAACACTTATGTTGAAGTCTGAAACCAATTCTGAACGAGAACGTTGAAAGGATATGATTTCTTTTTCCTTCTCCCTCTACTCTTCTAAGTCAATTATATATGTTTTATCTCCTAATTTTTATATCATTAACATTTATTATTTTCAGATTTAAGATTCTGTTGCAAAACGTAATGCATGGAAAGATACTACTTTAAGTGAATTCTTTAACATAAGTTAAACAAGTGAAGTATAAAAAAATTTATATTACACGTCTGCATAACATACATGAAACTTACGTTAGAAAAATTCAATTAAAACAATATATTTGTGTGTATAAGGCTTAGCAATAGAATCCCAAATTTGCAAATAATAAACGTAGGTGATATAAAAATAAGTAGAATATGAAACAAACATAATTGACTCAGAAGAGTAGACCAAGAAAGAAAGGAAAACATACCCTTTGAATATCATTTCTGAGATATGATTCTAAGTGTTCCAATGGAGTCTACACAATGAAAAAAACAAAAAAAACTTGAAAAATATCTCATATTCTTTAAAAATGTGCTACTCTAAAACAGAAAAAAGGAAAAAAAAAATATGAAACAATAAATCTATAAATAGTAGTAAATAATTAAATTTTTTATGGGTGTTGATGAGCTTAGGATGAAAAGAATAAATATTCAAACATTTATTTTATCACGTATAACAAAAAATAATGTTATGCAAAACAAATGCATCATAAGCTATAAGAAAATTTTTCTCCATCATTAAAAGTTTAAGGAATATGAGAATAATAACTAATCAATTCAAGTCACACATGAAAAATTGTCTTTAACAGTGACATGTCAGCAACTTGTTCCCAACCAATGTCATGACACCACCTGGACAGATAAAAATTTACCACAAAAAATAAAATGGACACTAAAAACTCGTTGAAAAGTCACTTTAAAATTTTGAGAAGGTAATCGCACTTACTCTGAAAGATGAGCATCCAAAAGTGAGTGAGTTTTTTACCAAAGTCTGGCACGAGACCAAACTAAACAGCTTCACTCAATTCAAGCCAGCGTTGAAGCAAAATTATAAGAAAGCTTTTCTTGAATACAATGTTATTGGAAAGATAAAAAAAAGGACATCTATATACATAACATGCGATTCTTGGGTATTTTCATATCTCACACCTAAAATTTCATATTTACAGGCATATCACTCAAATCCTTACCATCGCATAAAAACATGTCATTATTATTAACTTTTTTAAACAAAAATATACATTTTTATGTATATATTTATAACATCAAAGTTAGGTCTTAGATATATAAATACATAATAATTGTGTTTCACTTAAGAAAACTCATAATACAAACTATAGATGCTTGCTAACCACATCAGATGATAAAAAATTAAACTTTTCAATTGTAATCCTTTCACACCGAACTGTAGCAACAATTATCTGACAATGATGAAAGCAAAATCTGTTTTACATTGGTCGGAAATAAACTGTTATATGACACTTCTAAAGACCATTTTTCAGGTATGTCTTGAATTAGTCTCATACTCGAACTTTTAATGGCTTGAGAAAAATTTTCATGCAGGTCATGATATATTTGTTTTGCCATAGAAAGACAATATTATTATTTGTTATACATGATAAACGAAGGTTTGAATTTTTATTCCTTTCTCCTATACTCATCAACACTTATCAAAAATTTAATTATTTACTACTACATTATAGAATTATTGTTTTATATTTTTTTACATTTTTTCTTTTTTTTCGCCCATCTTTAGAGAATATGAGACATTTTGTTATTCTTTTTATTTTTTTCATTGTGCAGACTCCATTAGAACAATTAGAACTAGTTCTGAGGGAGGACATTTAAAAGATATGTTTTTTTTCCTTCTCCCTCCACTATTCTGAGTCAATTATGTCTACTTAAATCTCCTACTTATTTTTATATCACCAACGTTTATTATTTTCAGATTTAAGATTCTAATGCGAAGCTTGATGCACACAAATATACTGTTTTAGGTAAATTCTTTAACGTAAGTTTCTTGTTATGTTACGCAGACACGTCATATAATCTCTCTCATATTTCACTTGTTTTTTGATCTCTAGGTTGATGTCACAGTTTTGTCTAATTTTGAAGATAAGGAAAAACAATTCAAATAATTAAAAGTTAGTACAACAATATCGATTTGCTTCTAATTACCAATTCTTTGCATTGTTCTTCATTCTCTTCCAAACTAGGCAAAAGTGTAACCTTAACCTAGAAATCAATAAACAAATGAAGTATATAATAATTTATACGACATATCTGCATAACATAACAGAAAACATGTGTAAAAAAAATTCACTTAAAGTAGTATCTTTGTGTGTATCAGACTTAACAACAAAATCTCATATTTAAAAATAATCAACATTGGTAATATAAAAATAAGTACGAGATGAAGTAGTAATAATTAACTCGGAAGAGTAGAGGGAGAATGAAAAGAAAGCATAAACGTCAAATGTGCTCCCTTAGAACTGGTTCTAGATGTTTCAATAGAGTCTGCACAATGAAAAAAGAAAACAAAATATAACAAAATGTCTCATATTCTCTAAAAATGGGCAAGACTAAGAAAAAACATGAAACAATAAATATATAATGAAGTATAATAAATAATTAAGTTTTTGATATGTGTTGATAAGTCCATGATGAAAAAATAAATATTCAAACCTTTATTGTCACGCATAACAAATAATAATGTTATATTTTTATGGCAAAACAAATGCATCATGATTTACATGAAAATTTTTCTCAAACCATTAAAAATTTAAGAAATATGAGAATAATGAGTAATCAATTCAAGACACACTTGAAAAAGCATCTTTAGAAGTGACATAGCAGCAGCTTGTTCCTGACCATCTTTAGAAGTGACATGCATCAAATGGGCAGAAAAAAATTTCACTACAAAAAATAAAACAGACACTAAAAACTCACTGAAAAGTCCCATTAAAATTTTGAGAAAGTGATCAACTTACTCTAAAAGATGAGCATCGAAGTGAGTTTTTACCAAAGTCTGGCATGGGACCATACTGAGTTGCTTCACTCAATTCAAGTCAGCGCTGCAGTAAAATAATAAGAAAGTTTTTCCCGGGTACAATGCTACTGGAAAGATAAAAGAAGGGGCATTTACATACATAGCACACGATTCTTGTTTATTTTCAAATCTCACAACTAAACTTTTATACTTACATACATATCACTCAAAACCTTACCATCACATAAAAAAGTAGCACTTATTAACTTTATTTTACTGAAATACACTTTTTTATGCATAGATTTATAATATCAAAGTGTTATAAATTTAAATATCAAACTTTGGGTGTTAGATATGTAAATACATAATAATTATGTGGTTCACTTAAAAAAACATAACACAAATTATACATGTTTGCTAAACTCATCAGATGTCAAAAAATTAAACTTTTCATTTGCAATCATTTCACACTGAACTGTACCAACCATTACCTGACAATGATTAAGGCAAAATTTGTTTGACATTGGTCGAGAAGAAGCTGCTAACATGACACTTCTAAAGACGGTCTTTCAATTGTATATTAAATGTATTAGTTATCATTCTCATATTTCTTTTTAACTTTTAATGGTTTGAGAAAAATTTTTATGTAGAGCATGATACATTTATTTTGCCCTAAAAATATAACATTATTATTTGTTATATGTGAAAAAATAAAGGTTTGAATCTTTATTCTTCTTATCATGGATTTATCAACACCCATGAAAAACTTAACTGTTTACCACTATTTCATTATATATTTATTGTTTCATTTTTATTTCCTCTTTTTCTACATTAGTCTCGCCTATCATTAGAGAATTTAAGATAATTTATTTATTTATTTATTATGCAGACTCTATTTGAACACTTATAATCAATTCTGAGAGAGAACATTGAAATGATATTCTTTCTTTTTCATTCTTCTTCTACTCTTCTGAGTCAATTATGTCTGTTTCATCTCCTACTTATTTTTATACCATCAACATTTATTATTTTCAAATTTTGGATTTTGTTGCTAAGCCTAATGCATACAATGATACTATTTTAAGTGAATTATTTAACGTGAGTTTCATATTATGTTACGCAGACGTATCATATAAAATCTTTTATACTTCATTTATTTTTTGGTCCCTAGGTTGATGTCACAATTTTGCCTAGATTTTAAAAGAAATTAGAACAATTCAAATAACGAATAATTAACAGCAAATAATTATTGTAATACTAATTTTTTTTATAAATTGTCCTCTCCAGTGCATGGATGGATTTTATATAATTAACATTATAAAAAAATTATTATTACACTAACTATTTGCTTCTAATTACCTTTTTTTTTCAATTTTTCTTATTTCTCTTCAAAACTAAGCAAAGTTGTCTTTAATTAATTAGTTATCATTCTCATAATCCTTAAACTTTTAATGGCTTGAAAAAAAATATGCATTTATTTTGCCTTAAAAAAATATTATTACTTTTATACGTGATAAAACGAAGGCTTGAATTTTTATTCTTTTCATCTTGAACTCATCAACACCCATCAAAAATTTAATTATTTACTATAATTTCATTAGAAAATTATTGTTTCATATTTTTTCTTTTTTAGCCTCACCCTCTTTAGAAAATATGATTTTTTTTTTTTTCGTTGTGCAGACTCAATTAGAACACTTAGAAAAATGTCAGAGGGATAACATTTAAAGGGTTTTTTTTTTTTCCTTCTCCCAATTATGTTTACTTTATCTACTACTTATTTTTATACCACTAACGTTGATTACTTTCGGATTTAGGATTCTATTGTTAAGTCTGTACATGCAAAGATACTATTTTAAGTAAATTTTTTAACATAAATTTTCTATTATGTTACATATGTGTGTTATATAAATTCTCTTATACTTCACTTGTTTCTCGACTTTAAGTTGAGGTCACAGCTTTGCTTAGTTTTGAAGAAAAGAAAAAATTATTCAAAGAATTAGAAGCTGATATTACAATAATTATTTGCTGCTAATTACCAGTTCTTTGAATTGTTCTTGATTCTCTTTCAAATCAGGCAAAATTGTGGCCTCAATATAAAAATTAAGAAATAAGTAAAATATAAGGGAATTTATATAGCACGTCTGTGTAACATAACTTATGTTAAATCAATTCACTTAAAGCAGTATAATTGTGTGCATCGTATCTAAAAATAATCAACATTTTTGATATAAAAACGTACGAGATGAAGTTGACATAATTGACTCAAAAAAATAGAGAAAAAATGAAAAGAAAGCAGAGCTGTCGAATGTCCTCCCTCATAATTGGTTCTAAATATTCTAAAGGAATCTACTCAATGAAAAAAACAAAAAGAATAACAAAATATCTCATATTTTCTAAGATAATCGAGACAAAAAAATAAAAAAAATATAAATTTATAATGAAGTAATAATAAATAATTAAGTTTTTGATGTGTGTTGATGAGTCAATGATGAAAAGAATAAATATTCAAATCTTTATTGTCACGTATAACAAATAATAATATTATATTTCTAAAACAAGTAATCAATTCAAGACACTTGAAAAACTGTCTTTAGAGGTGACATAGTAGCAGTTTGTTCCCGACCAATGTCATGGTACCAACTTGACAGAAAAAAATTTCACTACAAAAAATAGAATAGAGACAAAACACTGAAAAGTCTCCTTAAAATTTTGAGAAGGTAGTCGAACTTACTCTCAAAGATTAGCATCCAAAAGGGAAGTAAGTTTTTAATCAAAGCCTGGCACGAGACCAGACTGAGCTGCTTCACTAAACTCAGGCCTCGTTTGGGGCAGCCTATTTATGCGTCTGGCGTTTTGAAAACGCCGAACTTTTGTTTATTTCTCTCGTTTGTGAAGGGAATTCAAAACGCGTAGAGGGATATAATGAATATTTGGTAGGATCGCGACCGCGAAATCGACCACGCGAATGACGTTTCTTTACAGCATTTTACCCCGTTGCCCTTTCGATCTCCACTCCCCGATCGATCTCAGGGCCTCGCCTCTCTGGCCTTGCTCTCTTCTCGAGTTGCTCGATCGGCTCCCCTAGCTCGCGCACGCAAGCTCTCTCGTCGCCCTTTACTTCGATTTCAGCTCGTCGCAGTTACCTTGAAATATGCAATGCTTTACGGCGATCATCATTGCTTCTTACTTGCATCGCCTGCTCTGGTCAAATAATCTAAAGATCGAAGGCTTCCCGGTTGTGTCAGAGGGGAAGAAACTATGGCCATTTTTTTCCGCTTAAGTAGGAGCTTCCTTCCCGCTGTAAGATCTCAGGATGTGCAGATGTCAGTGTAGCAGTTTTCCTTCCCGCTTCAATCATTTTCTTTTTTGCCATATACGCTCAAAAATATGTGAAACTAGAGAATTTAGAGCAATGTTTTGTGTTTTTTTTTAGCTTGTTGGCTAGATCTATTAGACCTGAATAATTTTTTTATTTAGCCTTGAGGAATGTTTCGATTTCTTTTCTGCACATTTTGGAAAACAACATGAGTGCCAGCTATTGTGTACAATAAATCATATAACAATGGCAACTTGAATTTGTGGCCAAACAGTAATAAGAGAGATCAATTTGATTGGGATGCATATATGGGTTCAATTTCTTGTTAACTAAACAGGGAATTGCCCTAACTTGATTGAACTGGGATTTCTTACTCCAAATTCAATTGGCATATGATTGTTTGGTCATATATTTTCCTCTCTTGTGTCTGAGTAGAAGACTAAAAACAAGCAAAATTTGTTTTCTAGGTTTGGAAGAGACGTAGAATGGGATCCCCATAAGGTAAGATTGATTTTTTTCCTTTTTTTTTTCCTTGATTTGAATGATTTGTATTAATAAATCAATGATCCTTCACCCTTGAAAAAAAACTCATTAGTTTATGGGTTTGTTAAGTAAGTTGAGCAGTTATTATGGTATTTGTTTTTCATGATGTTTAATGATACTCCGTATTTTATCCACTACTCTTTGGAAGGCTTTTTTTCTAATCCAATAGAAGAAGTTAGTGAAGTTGGAGTGTGTGAAGGCGAGTGGAAGGGGAGAAAAACAAGTGTTAATTTCTTCAATGGTAGGTCATTGTAAAATTGTATATGTAATCTAATCAATTAGCATTATGCTCAAAGACAAAAGTTTCACAGCCTACATTATGCTAAAAAAATAATCAATTAGCATTCATGCTAGTAAGATAAAGTAGATGCATATGTAAATAGAGGAAGTTTAGAGATTTATTTGTAAAAACATTGTAAGGCTTTATATAAGCCCAATTCATGAATGAAATGAATTAAGTTCTTCAGAGCAATTATTATTTTAGATGTGCCCATTTTCTATTATTGTCATTTCATTTGATCGATTTGATTTGTGGAACAAACATGGAGGTCAAAACAGATAGTGCTATCCAAGTGTTACTTGTTCATAAGCATGAAATACCTCCTTTTTTAAAAAAGAATTACAAAATGCATATGGTGCATGCCCTATAAAGTATTCTTCTCAATCCAGAAGACCAATAATATAAATTCAATCAATTAAGGTCACAATTATACAAACTTCATAAGCTAGATGTTCCGGTTGTTTTTATCAAACAGCCAAACAACACAACTCTTCAAACCCCAAAACATTTGAATTGACATAATTTATGAGACACAATAGCTTCCCCAATTTCACTACTAGAATTTTATTAGTGATAGAAGATACCTTGTACCTGACCAATCTAACCAAATCGACTAAAGAGGTAACAATCAATAAAGCCGCATAACCAACTTCATATTATAATTGCCTCCCTAATTCTAAATATCTTCAGAATGAACCATAATGAACTCAATAATGAAGATCAATGCGCTTCAGAAGTATGGAATAATTAGATTATCCAAAGCTTATACAACCTATTTACGAACAACTTCTGATAAAGAGAAAACTCATAACCTCAAGTTTATAATTAATTGGATGATAAAGTTAGAAGATAGTCAAACTTACTCTGAAAGATAAGCATCCGAAAAGGAAGCGAGTTTTTTACCAAAGCATGGCACTGGACCAGACTGAACTACTACACTCAATTCAAGCTAGCGATGAAGCAACATTATAAGAAAGTTTTTCCTTAGTACAATGCTATTGGAAAAATAAAAAAAGAAGCATTTACATATATAGCAAACGACTCTTGTGTATTTTCATATCTCACACCTAAAATTTCATATTTACATGCATATCACTCAAATCTTTACCATCACATAAAAAAACACCACTATTATTACTTTTTTTAAACTGAAATATACTCCCTTTTATGTA